CCAAATTAATGAGTAAATTTAGCATCTTTCAAGAGGAGGCTGAAAAAAGTGATTTGATTAAATTTTCAACCAACAATGTTGGATGAAAAAATGCCTACCAAGATTCACACACAAAAGTGAGTTTATAATGGTGAATAGTGTTCTGTTAGTGTGTGAGAGACAGAGCATCTGTCAATCACATTGTCAGTTTTCAAGTCAAAGGGATTTAGTTTATTCTTATCATCACTCTAGAAGCATTTTTTTAAAGCAAAGGCTAGGAAAGAAAAGTTCAACTGGGAATGTTTGTAAATTTATTAATGTTGTATCAAAAATTATCATTCAATCTTCTCCAAGCCAGAAAAACTGACAGAATAATTAAAGGTTAAAGTATATAAATAATAGTTAATGCTCTATTAACATCTTATGAAAATTTAATGGGTCCCAGGTTTCATTTTTCTTTAATCCTCTCTCCCTTCCTTTTTTTCCTTTCATCTTTTCTTCTTCATTTTTACTTTAATCTTTACCCTTCTATCCACAAGTTCACTCTCCTAGTGGCTGCCAAGGTTTGGGCAGAGCTGGGCTGGTCCAAAGTTAGAAGCTGGGAGATTCTTTCTGGTCTCTCACAAAAGCGCTAGGACCCCAAGAATTTTGGCCATTTTTGGTCATTTCCCACTGCTTTCCCAGGACATTATCAGGGAACTACACTGGAAGTGGAATAACTGGGACTTAACCTGCTAAACCACAGATTGGCCTCTATTTTAATTTTTTAAATGAACTGATTTTTAAGGTTTTATTTTTTTCAAGTTTGGAGATAACATTTTAAATTTACATTGTAGGCAAAGCCTTATAGACTTTGCTAAAGAAAGAGTTTAGCAAGTACAATGTAAAAAAGCTATAGTCCAGCAAGAAAATAGGCCTTGGATATATACAATAAAGAAAAGATGCTCAACTTTACTTATTTGTGTTAAATTTTTAAAGTAGCTCCCAAATCATTTAAATTATCATAGTAAAGAAATCTTACCAACTTGACAAGTGATCAAAACAAAGTTTGACAATGTAAAACTGATAACATTCAGTCATTTCTTCCTTTTTAATTTTACCTAGCACATATAGGGTCAAAGACACAGTATTTGCTTTCTGTGACTGGCTTATTTCAACCAATATTGTGCCTTCCAATTCCAAAATTTCATGGCAAATGATGGAACTTTTTCTTTTTTATAGCTGAAAAATATTTCCTTGTGTGTACATATTGTATATGTGTTTATCACATATTCTGTACATATTCATTTGGTGATGAACATGTTAGTTAATTCCATATTTGTTTATTGTAAACAGTGTTGCTATACACATGATACAGCAGTGAGTTTATAATTTTTAAGTATATGCTCAGTACTGGGATTGTTGGATCATATGGCAAGTCTATTCCTAGTTTCCTATATTTTGTTTTTAAAGTATAAGAATTATTTCTTGACAGAATTACACAGAAGGACTAAAAATCTTCCATCTTCCAAAATGCCAGTCCCTATTTCTTGTTTTTTGGAGAAATGTCACAGTAGCTACACTAATTTACATTTCTACCACTTAGTAGAAGCATTCCCCTTTTGGGTTCTGTGTTTAGTGCAGTAGATTAAGCTATTACCTGTGATGGCAGCATCCCATAATGGAATGTAAGTTTGTGTGCTGGCTGTTTCACTTCAGATCCAGTTCTGTTCTAGGAAGTCTCAGAAGGTACCAGAAGATGTTTCAAGCTGTCAGGCCCCTGCTGACCATAAGCAGAGCAGGATGGAACTGTAGGCTCAGGGCTTCAGCCTGACTCATTCCCAGCCACAAAAGTCACCTTAGAGGTCAATTAGCGGGTTGAAAATCCCTCTTTTTGTCTAACCATCTCTTAATCTGCGTGTCTTTGCTGCTATTGCTGTCTTTCAAATAAGCAAATAAAATGAATCTTTGAAAAATAGTTAGCCAGTGTTTGTTGTGCTCTGTCATTGTGACAGGGTTAAGATGATATCCTGCTGTGGTTTTTATTTGCCTTTCCATAGTGGCTAGTGGTATCAGCCATTTTCTTTTCGTCATATATTTGTGGACATTTAGAGTTTTTCCTTCTAATAACTGTCTATCCAGGGCCTTTGCCTATTTTTTTTCAGGAACTTTTTAAACTGTCATTATTTTCCATGGTATGGATGGAAGATCTTCCTGTCTCTCTTCTTCTCTGTACATCTGACTTACCAATAAAAATAAATGAAATCTTAAAAAAAAAGAAATGTAGGCTCTCATTTTAGACTCTGAAAGAGGGAAAATCTACATTTGAATAAGACCCCTCAATGTCATCTAGGCCTATTAAGTTTTTAAGAGTCACAAAAGCACATGAGCCACAGGAGTGCTTCATTGGCTGAGTTAAGGCTGTAATTGAAATTACCTTCCAAGACCCAATTCCTCAGCGTCAACCAAGCAGTCTCCTATATTAACTTGTTTTTAGTCCATAATGGAAATATAATTTTTTATTCCTATGAATTAAGTTGGATTTCAGATTAAAAACTATACTTATCCAACATTCTAAAATAAATCTGAGCAGAAACTAAATGGATTTGTGCCATGCATCTAGTTTTAAGAACCAAGGTGCATGAACTCCAGTTTATTATTGCCTCATTTAATCTAGATATACTGCATTAATACAGGCTTTCTGCAAGACTATTTTCAGTTACTTTAATTCTATCTTACATGATCAATTAAATATTTGAAGCATGGTGAGTTGAGTTTATTTAAGTCCATCCCTATTTCATAGGAATGGGAGGAATAGCAAGCATATAAAATACTAATGCCCAAATCATACTAATATTTTATTTTATGAAATTAAAACATTTTGTTTCATGGTGGTTGTGCCTTGTCTTGTCATGGTTAATGACAAACACAAGGCTTAGCTTGCGCTCCCCAAGTACATACCAGCTGAATGGTGCTGTGAGGCATCTACAAGATGCTCCTTGGCAGAAAGGCAGCTGCTATTAAAAATTCACAAAGTAGAAACTGTCCAAAACAATTTTCAGGATGAGAATCCAAAATTATATTTTAGGAGAAATGAGACATTCATTTTACAGATTGGTCCTCAAACAGGAGTTAAAAGTAACTAAGAAATCAAATTGCTAAAAGTGGAGTGGTTGAACATACCACTTAGCAAAAGCAAAACAAGCATACATCTAGGGTAAAATGAGTAGGTTTAGCTCTAAATATTGCCACAAACTTTTTCAACTGCAAAACATAAAAAATTTAATATGCACTTATGACTTTCTCTAGAACAAATTATTATTTCATCTTAGAAATATAAACACATCCTAAAACAGAGTTTTATTGAAAATTGGATTTGGTCATTCCTGAGTAAGAAATGTGGTCAACTTCTTGGTGTTCTGCCTCTCAAGAAACATTTATCTTTTCAGTAAGTAAAGAAAAGATTGTTTGTTTATAATATTATTAGCATATTGGTCACAATGGGATTTTTGAGCACCTAGCCTTTGCAGTTTCCTATGCTGTTCCTGACAGGAAAAATTCTTTCCACCTCATTGGAAACCTCCTTTAAACTTGACTTTCTCCAATTGGAATTTTAAATGCTTTATATATTCCATTGTAATATCATTTATAAAATCAAGAGTTCTCATGGCATAAATGATCTTATAAAAACTATTCTGTTCTTTCAAGGTTAGAATCTATCTCAGATCTACTAATGAAAATTTTTAACATACAATGAGGAAAATCTGTAAGTTGTATCTAAACACATGTTATATTTCAATTATATGCATAATTCAATTATATGCTTAGTTAATGAACCATTTAATTGAGAACACTCCTAAACCATGCACACTATAAACTTTTTTTAACATTTGTTACACAAATAGCACCTACAAAACTTAAGATGCAAATTATATAGAAAAATTACAATGGTGTTGCACCAGTTTGGGGGAATGTAACAATCAATTTAAATAGGCAGCTATTTTTATCCATTAGGTAATTAGAAGTTTAGCTATTATGATTACTACAGTAATTAGAAGCCATTACTATATCCATTTATTTTAAATATGATGTTATGCATTTATAATTAGCTGGCGCCATGTCATAGTGAGTTAAACCACCATCAATGATCCTGGCATATGATATAGACACCAATTGGAAACTAACTGCTATCCTTCTGAGCCAGTTTCCTGTTCATGCATCTGAGAAAGCAGTAAAGTACTTAAGCTTTTATGTCTACCTGGGAAACAGAAAAAGCTCCTGGCTCTTGCCTTTGTCCTGGCACAATTGAGCTGTTGTAACCATTTGGGGATTGAATGAGCAGATGGGAGATCTCTCTATTTCTCTGCTTTCTATAGCCATGTTTTTCAAATAACAATAAAACAAATCTTTAAAAATATTCTTTACTTGTTGGAAAGATGGAATGAGAATGAGAGAGACAGAGAGAGAGACAGAGATGAAGATGGGGAGAGACATCTTCCATCTGGTGCTTCACTCCCCAAATGGCTGCAATGGCCAGAGCAGGGCCAGGATAAAGCCAGGAACTTAATACAGGTCTCCCATGTGGCTGCAGGGGTCCAAGAACTTGATCCACCTGCTGCCTTCCCAGTGACATCAGCAGGGAGCTGGATTGGAAATGAAGCAGCCAGGACTTAAACCATATGTGGCACCACAAGCTGCAGCTTAGCCTACTACCCTATAGTGTTAGCTCCATTAAAAAAACGCGTTTTTAAAAAAGAATAAATAATCAAACACTAAGGAGAAGATTTTGAGCCTTTCAGAGGACAGAGGAAATTATTCATGGTAGGTACAGAATTCTAAATTTTATATATTTTTAAATAAAAGTCAAGTCAAGTACTTCACTGTTGTGGTTAGATGAGAGTCTATTTAAATATGAGAGTCTACTTAAATCTTAAGTCTTAAAAACACTCTGGTTTATATTTTGGTTGGATCATGTTGTAGTTGGACAAATAGGTTAGGGTAACAGATTTCATTTTTGAATTTTTGATTTCATGCACACTTACTGCGAAGGCTGGTAGTCCTGGAGGTCCCATGTCTCCCTAAAACGAATTAATGACAAGTTAAAGTTTTAATTGTCCCTTTTTACATATGATTCATACGTTTCTGATTGGATAGGAGCAATATTTATAGAAAAATCTTGAAGGACAGAAAAAAAAGTTTTATTTTTATCTCTGTAATGAAAAAACTTAGCATGTACCCATTAGCTCTCATAACGTAATGATCACTTCATTCATTCCCATGCTTTTTAAAGCAGCAAACTTGTTTTGAAATGCTAAAATAATCTAATTTTCTATTCTGCCTTAATCCAAAATTGGAAGGAATGTCTTTCCAAATATGGTAACTTGCCAATAGAGCAGCTGTGAAGTGTCATAGAAGCAAATAATTTTTCCGACAAAGTTAGTATGAGAATCAGCAGAAATAAGAAGTGGGTCTCCCACTTCACGCCTCCCAGCTGCAGCGAGTCGTTCCCATGACCTCTTCTGCAGCTCTGCTGAATCGGCAGTGCACCTGCCACCAACAGTACGATGCTCTGCCTGTCTTCATTTATTTTTGAATATTAAGTTCTTTTCTGATCTATGTGAATACAAACTTTGATATAAATATTGACAAATTATTCAAACATCTTTAAAAATCGTTCAACTAAAAGTTCACTACGTTCCGATTTCAGTGTCTTCTGCACATGTTTTATCTTAGGAACTCAATCTCGTAAGCATCCTCATCCATTAAGACCAAGCATGCTTGCTGTGGCTTTCATTTAGGTGAACGCTGTGAAGGATATTCACTGGGTGGGAATGGGGCACTGTTATATTGGATTACGATACTGAGAGTTTCCTTAGCACTTTATCATTTCACATTCCCTTTATCCACAAATATAATGTTAAGGTTTTCTTTCTCAAGAACTACAATGGCCTCAAATGTTAAGATTTCTTCAATAAATATGGTCACCTAAAATATTAAAATTTAGCAGTATATAATCATTAATTGTAGAACCCAAATAAAATAACCTATAGTTGTCAAGAACTGAGGACCACTTGATAAGATTATTTGTAACAGCAATGATCTTGTAGATATACAAAGATTTCTAAATGTGCTGAGAATGAAGAAAATAATGCAGTGCTATGCTTTTGGGTACATGCGTGCGTGCACACGCGCACACACACATACACACACACACAATTTGTACCCATTGACCTTATTTAAAGTAATTCTTACTATACTATTTCTTAATTTTCTTTATAAAGTCACTGCCAATATACTATTATGAGATTGTAGATGAGGAAAAGTGGCAGGAAATGGAATATTTAAACCAAAACTGTGATACAAAATTAGCTTCTTTCCTCCCAAAAGCCACCTGCTTCACCAATGTGGTAGCAGCTCAGTGTTGGCTGAATTCCCTGATACAGGTCACATTTGCTAACGTTGCGATGGAATATGAAGTATGAATGGTGTGAAGCAGGGATGAGAAAAAGGAAATTTAGGACAAGAGAAATTCCATTAGCCCTGTACATTTGAGTCTCTTCAAACTAATTAAATGAATCAAAGTTTTACTGGTTTGGATGCTCTTTAGATAACAGTCTGTGGTTAACTGCAAAGTGTCACTGACAATATCAACAAATCATTGAACAGGTTCTCAGGGCAATCTTGAGAACAGAGTGACATTTTCAGGGGGGAGGGGTGTAGGTAAACACAATACCTTTTCTCCTTTTGGGCCAGGTGGACCACGAGGACCCAAGTCACCTTTCAGACCCTGTACAAAGAATAGAATCAAAATGATTTCTATGCACATTTCACAGAAACCTTCAGTTTCTAACAAGTCATTGGGAAGAAAATAAATCATAATTTACTGAACTCCCAAGTCCCATTCTTCCCTTCATAATATGAAAAGAAATAGAGACAACTGGCACTAAAATGATAAGCAACATCTGTGCTCTGGTGGGTACAGATACATTAAATCAGCACGAGTCGTCAATACTGCATATTTGTGCAACTTTGCTTCCTGCTAAAATTATATTAATTCACCATCTGGGAGCACATCATTTAGATCTATATGAGATTTTAAGTATCCACTTTAGATTAAATTTGTGGATGCTGTAAATACCTCTGATTTAGCATTGATTTGGTCTTTACAAAACTTGCCAAAAAAATTGAAGAGCTATCAAAAAACATGTTCACGTCTTTATCAAGATATTTAATTGTGTGTGTTAAAAGGGAGGGGAAGGAATGAAGGATGAATTCTTTTTCTGTTACTCACACAGCTAGACTTGACATGTAGTATCTTTCCTATTTTAAAGGGTATTTTAGCTTTCAGATTTCTGTTTTTTTTTTAAGCTGGACTTATAAAGATAGCAGATGAAAATATAAAATGTGCAGACAGGATATATGATTAACATTTTCAGGGATCCTCCAGACGTTTGGATGTTTCAATATATATTTTAGTTGAAATAACTCAAAATTGCCAGCTTTCAGAAATACAATAGATTCACTAGAGGGGATCAGTTCCAGTACTGAACATACCCACAATATAAACAGAAGAAAAGTTATATAGACATATCCTCCTGTGTGCTCACAGAAAAAAATACCTTCTTTCATCCTTAATTTAGCACACCAACTAAGGAAAGAACTATAATGAATATAAATATTCCACAGCCACATAACGCACAATAAATCCAGGCATCTTATTCTTCCTATTCAAGGATCCAGCTGCTACAACCTCAACATTTTGTGGTAAATAAACAATGGCAAATGCATCACTTGTAGCTGCTTGATATAGTCATGGGAGCAGGCAATGAATAGAAGCAGTCAAAGGAAGCCAGATAATGAAATGATCTTATGAGAAAATATGTGAAAACTGTAGTCTAATGTTCTAAGAAAAATATTGAGTTATAAAAACTGCCAAAAAAGTGAACTTCAGTACCTTCATGAATATTTTTGTAGATAAAACATATTGCCATCATCACCTCAGAATAAGTGAAAAATAATATCTGAGATATAATACTCTTATTTGGAATACTCATTACTTCTCAAATCAAGCAATACCTTTCTATATACCAGTGCTTCCAGGAGTAAGACTTTATGACTGCATATGCTAATAAAACTGTCATTATCTATTTTATGATTAATTTAGTAATTAATCCAACAAATAATAATATATGTTGTATGCATTTTTCTAAAGCCTTTACACTTGCACTATGTGTACCCAACGTAGGAGTTCTAAGACCCTTGACTTCTAAATTACTGTGTTTGACATATTCAGTGCACTTACAGAAAGTCATTTAAATCTAAAGTACTGGAGAGTTACAGATCCTTTATATATTTTTTCATTTTCTTTGAGGAGACGAAATGATTCATGCCCAAGTCTTTGACCCATCTCTGGCAAGAATCTTGTTGGATATTTCAGAAAAACTAACTTTACCCTTGATGCCGCCTCTTTATACTGTTCCACCTACTGATCACCCTCAGTGTGTTCATTGGCTGTAAATCCCCATTTTTCTTGTTGTATTTAGAGGTGAATTCAATCTCTTTCTCTTATTGCAATACCTGTACTACAACCATTTACTGTACTACAATAGATATTCCCTTTAAAAAAAAGATTTATTTTTATTGCAAAGTCAGATATACAGAAAGGAGAAGATAGAGAAAGATCTTCTGTCCGATGGTTCACTCCCCAAGAGATCGCAATGGCTGGTGATGAGCCAATCTGAAGCCAGGAACCAGAAAACTCTTCAAGGTCTCCCACATGGGTACAGGATCCTAAGGCTTTGGGCCATCCTCAACTGCCTTTCCAGGCCACAACTAGGGAGTTGGATGGGAAATGGGGCTGCCGGGATTAGAACAAGTGCCCATATGGGATCCTGATGCATTCAAGGCAAGGACTTTAGGCATTAGGTACCATGCCAGGTCCCAAACAATAGATATTCCTTACTACTTATAGATAATAAGAATTTTTCTAAAGAAAGTTGAAGTCCCTCATTTTATGGAACTCATAACTGGGTTTGGTGCAATGGAGTAGTATGCTAAGCCTCCACTTGCACCACCAGTACCCATATGGCAACTGGTTCATGTCCCTGCTGTTTCACTTGTTATTCAGCTCTCTGGATAAACAATGGAACAATGGTTAAGACTTTGGGATCCTGCATCCACATGGGAAACCTGGAGGAAGGTTCTGGCTCCTGGCTTTGTATTAGCCAAACACCATTTATTGAGGCCATCTGGGCAATGAGCCACTGAATAAAAGATTCTCTGCCACTCCTTTCTGTGATTCTGCCTTTCAAATAAAAATAACAAGAAAATCAAGAGAAGAGTAACAGAATAAACAGGTCGCACAGCTGAAGAGGTAATGAGTTACTATAGTAGGTACAGAAGTCAGCGTCACTTTTGTGTCAAAGTGATGTTTATTGTTTCAGAAACACTGCCATGCAATGATTGTGGGGAAATGTGTGTGTACAGGGAAATGTGGGCACACAGTTTTCCGAGCTGAAAGGATATTTAAGAGGAGAAGAGGATTAAGTCAAGTTTAGCCAGAAGTTATGGTACAGGAAGAATTGCAGGGCATGTTGGTGAAGATGGATTTTAGTTTTATTGCAAATGAGGAGGCTCTTAAGTGCTTTAGAAGGAAAAAATGAAACTGTAGACAGCAAGAATAGAAGCAAAATAGTATCTATAAAAGCGTTTTAGCCAAGAAAGCATGATGGCTGGTTTATGATGGGCACAGTGGAGATGGCCCTGGCATGAAGACCAGGTAGAAGTAGTGAGGGCGGGTGGGAAACAGAAATACCAGGGTACTTGCTATTAGTAACTTGATGAGAAGGTATGTTAATTACTGATCCAAAAAAAAATTTTAGAACAAGGTTTGCTTACTAATTTCTCATGTATAAATATAGAGAAATAAATATAGAGAGAATAGACAAATACAGTAGAAATGCTTATAATGATTAAGTATCCACTTAGCCAACAAGCATGCTTGAACATCTGTTGACATGTCAAGAGTGAACTGTATACTCCTTATAAACAAGTGAAATGAAGAGAAACCTAAAACTGAAAAGCATTAATTGCATCACTCAGGAGTATGGCCAACTCTGGAGTAGGGTCTCCAACGGGAAAACAACTTCCAGCGAGCTCTTGTTTCACTAGCATTTCAGTTCTAATTTATGACAAGCATATGTGTTAACTATGTTATTTTGAATGAATAAAATAACACATTAAAATTATAAGATTCCTTTTTAACAATTTATCACTAAATGTAACTTGTAAAGAAAAGGCTGGTGATTTTATCAGCTGTCATTCATTCTGTTGATGCAAATATGAAGTAATATCATTGAAGTATATGGTAGGTGTGAAAAACTAGTACTGAAGGTACTGAAGACTTGAGGTATGTGAAGTTTAGGAGAAACAGAGGTGGAATGATATTTCACACATTTAGGATAATTTCTTTAAGACTTGCATACAGAATAGTTATAAGTAACAGTTATTTTGAAAGGTTATTTGAAGAATCATATTTGTAAAACCTTTTAGGACCTGGCATGCACTTAATCAATGTTGCTTTTACTTTACAAGTCTAGATTTAAGGATAATTAATAGTTCTTTCTGGTCAGTTTTGTACTTCATTTGATGGATATGCACAACTCCGTTTCAGCTCACATTGGATAAAACAGAGTTGAGAAGTACTATATTTGTCAGATGTCTACTTTTATAGCCAGTCAAGTGAACCTATGTAAGTCATGTCCCCTTGTGACAAAGTACAATGTTTAAGGTCATGGCATCATAATAGGCTCTGAGAAACAGATCGTAATACTGTTCTCAAGTACGCTTTTTCTCTTTATGTCATACTAGTGCTGCTGTCAATGGTTATTGAATTCTGGGAAGGAAAGACACAACATTTACCACGAAGCATGAAGAACTGCATGGGGCAGATTTTGAATTCAATATTGAATTAGATAACTATCTATAATTAAGAGTTCCAATAAAATACATTTTTAAATGCTTTCAAAAACTCAGGGTTGATTCTGCATGTAACACAAAAAGAAATTCTTTATAATAAGAAGGAAGCTATCTAATAGGTATGCAACTAGAATCATAAAAACAGTATGTTATTAAACTGATTTTATTTGAAATCTACTACTTATGGGATATGGCATTTTTAAAAATCAGAATTTTTAAAAATAATTTTATTTGTTAAAATTTTAACACAATCTTTCACCCCAGCTTCCACTGACTTTGTCTTTTCCTCTAAGAATTGCAACAGCTGTGTCAGCTGCTATCTCTACTTTTGTGCTTTCAATGGTTTTGTATTCCGTAGTGCAGATTGCATTTGTATAAGGAGATTAACATGATTATTTTAGAAACATCCATGTTATCATTCTGGTAAAGAATGTTTTAAAGGCCATAATAAAGATGCAGAAGAGAATACTAAATTCAGACTGAAATCTACTTTTCTAAGGTTATATAACCCCACAAAAACTAAGTAAATGAAAACAAATCCATTGGAGCTAAGTGTGTTGCTTATTCTCATTTCTAATAATGCTGATTTTCATCTAACTCTTTCTATATACTACACACTGTTCCAAATGTTGTAAATCTGATAACACTTTCAATCCTGACAAAAAATAAAGCAAATAATATTAATATGTAACTGTCCAAAGAATACAAAGTATAGAAAGAATAATACAGCATGCCAACAAGTCAGTAGCAGAACTGGAATTTGAACCTTGGTAGTTTGCCTTCAAAGATCAAAATTACAAATTTATTATTTTCCTTTCATGTCTGTTCTAAGGAAGTATTATGAAATGGATTTCATATGAAATCATATTCAAAATCATTGATGAGTATGCATGTGTTTAATGAAAATATGCAGTGTTATTTAAAATTAAACACAGGCTTCTGTCAAGGATGCAACTAAGATAGATACAGGAACTTTCTCTTTTTCCATGACTAAGGGATACTACTGGTGTTTTAAGCTTCTGAGCTTCAAGCTTGGTAAACCTTCTGCTCTTGCAAGACAGTCCCACATGGCAAGGAATCCACTTGCCCAAAGTGTCAACAGTATCCTCAGAAAAAGATCAAACTGTCTTCCCTTTAAGCAAAGGCTTACATTTTCCAAAGTACATTTTTTCATTTCATGGAAAAGTTGGCACTGAAGACACTATTTTATAAGATGCACTGACATTAAGATGTATGTTATCTGTGGCAATAAAGATTATTAACTAAAAGAAGATCGGATCTATCTAATAAAATTTTAAATCATTCTAATTTACTCTGAGTTAGAAAGTGGCTGCAGTGAGCAGGTTCATTGAGATTGTTCACTACACATTCTAAACAATATTTCCTTATTCTGGCTTCACTTTAATTCTAATTGAAACAGCCTTTATAGCACTCTTTACTCCCTGAAAATTCATACCTGTGCTTATGAAAGAGGGAACTATCAAATTTGTTAAATTTATTTCCAAAGATTTTTAAGCACTGAGAAGTGAGCAATGACATATGGCATGATTTGGTGGAAACACACAGATGATAATTTTCAACCAAACATTCAGGGCTACAACAGGCTGATTTTACTATTTTATTTTATTTTACTATTTTATCAAGTTGCTTAGTTTTCTAAACTTCTACTTCTTGCCTCTGAAACAGGGATGTTATCAAGCCTGGTCTAATGAAGTCTGCTCTTGCTAGTTCATAAACCTGAGTGAGGACTGAATTTCAAACTCCTCTTGAAAATACTTTATCAATTATGACATAATATTAGACTGCCAGCATTGCCAATAGTGTAATAGGAGAGCATCCAATTCTTCTAATGATAGTGAAGGGGAAAGAGGAGAACTTGCATTACTTTTTATTTCTCTTTAGTCTTGACTCCTGAATATCTTTGACGAAATTAAGCAAAGGAAAACAACATCATCTACATATTAATTAAGGAACCAAGTGAGAGAAGTTAATGTGCTTTGTCATGCTTTATGGCGCACTTAATGAACTACATTAGACAATTATGGTGCAAAGGAAATGGCACCCCTGTGGCTGGTGAGAAGGGGTCACACTGCCCAGCAGACTGCTGATTTGCTCCTCAGCAAGCTTGTTGGTCTTAACTCGGATTAGGAGCCCATGGATTTTTTTTTTTAAACAAAAACTGGTGTCAAAATCAACATATTTTAATGAGCTGTTGGAAGTGCTTTTCCTCTATAGGTATAGATAAAATATAAATACTCTCCTAGCCACAAGACACTGGTGTTAATGTCATTCTCTGATGTAGGAATATAAATTTCAAGAGGTGGATAGAAGGAGGCAAATGGGCTAATATGTAGTTAGGGTCTCTGGTCCCTGGTAAATTTCTCTTTTGTCTCTTAGTACATTTCTCTTAGCTCTTTGCTTTCCCATGAAGAATAACTACTGAGGGTTAGGTGGAGTCCTCAAAAAATGTGAACTACACCTCCCTGGACTCTAGTTCTTTAGTCCCATCTCTGAATTTCCATCAGGAAAAAAACAAAAAGCCAGCAGATTGTGTCTGACTTTTCAGTGTATCATAAGAATGAGAGGAGTCGGATTGCCACGCACGCTTCTGATGGCTTTCTGTTTTGGACCAGACACGGTTACTGCCCTCTGTTCAGGAATTCCCCTCTCCAACTTCTTGCTTATTTCTTTTGTTCGCCTCCCTGAAATGGTGCTTAAAAGACACCGCTTCCACCATGTTGTTGGATCTTTCCTTCCTTGGAGCCTGCTCCCGTCACTATGGCAGATCACTCTTTACATGTAATCTATCTTTGCACACTGAAATTCTCTGCATGAAAATTCTTTCCTGTGAGACAAGAATCAAGGCTGCCTTTGGCTTTCATGTTGAATTTCCCACAACAAAGGGAGCAGGTCATAGTACAGATGTGAATGAGGTTTCTTAAAATATAGCAAAGCTGCTGGTGAGGGTTTGAATCAGAGCCTCATGATGCAGTTAATTTCAGGAGCCTCTTTCATTTGGGGGAAGCTTCCTCAGGTGCAGCCTTACTTGGCACACAGGCTCCAACTATTAGTCTTTAGCCTCGCTTTGTACTGTAATAATTTGTCACCAACAGGTAGCTTTCCTAACACCTCAAGAGTTCCAGAGAATTGAATATAGCCTCATTTGGTGTCCCCTATCACTTATCCATAAATCAATTAGTATGGCGTTTAGATCCATTTAAAACTATTTAAGTGAGCAAAGAAAATCGAGGGAAAAATATTTCTCATTACGGATGTTTTCTCCAGTAAACTTGGTATGTCTCCAAAATAATAACTGGCTATTGTTGATGACTTGAAATTCAAGGAAGACTCACGTTGAGATTGTCTTTTAATTTCATCCTAAGCACTGGAATGAAATTTTTTTGGGAGTGTTATCCTAATGGGAAGAAATGTAGTTTACTGGGATGCAGGATGTCACAGAACCCAGGACAGCTGCTCTTGAGGAGCTGTGGCAATGGGAAAAGCAACACACACGCATGGGTTTCCTTTCCGACTTCCCTTTCTTTTCATCATTGAAACATTATCAATACAGACTTCCCTGTATAGAGATAAGGGTGAGCTAAAAAGTGAATCCTGGATAACAGCACTGGCATAGTAAGAATAAAGTATGTAAGAAGAGAAAAGAAAACAAGCAGCAAAAAGCAAAGGCTTGTAAAAGTCAACATACATTTGAACTAGTCATACATAAGAATTACCTGTAATGAAACTAAAGACCATGGGCACCTAATGGGCCATGCTGTAAGATAACCTTGATTCTTAACTTTGTGTGACTGTGGCTAGATGAGTTAAGAACATTCAAACTTTCATAGCATTTGATAGTAAACTGCATGGGCAAAATGTAAACAGGATATTAGAAAAAGAGTTAGGCTTACATCTTCTCCATTAAGACCAGTCAGACCCGGGTCTCCTTTTGCTCCTTTTTCACCCTAAGGAAAAATAATTACAGAATGAAAAATGTTAGACCTGAAAGCTTTCACCAAGCAAAAAAAAAAAAAAAAGCAGGAGACTTACATTGTGGTTATTTGGTTATTTATCCCCAGCGCCTATAAAACTGTACTACATAATACAATGTAAGCAACAATAAAAAAAAAAAAAGAACAATTCTGAGTTCTAAAACTAAACAGAAATTTAAATATTCAAAAAAGAAAAACTATGCACATCAAAATGACTGGAGGGTAGAAATAGAACACAGATTATCTATTTTCTTTTATAAGCAACAAAGAAATATTTGGAAGAAAATTTGGCCATAGATATCTAGAAACCTACTAGGCTATAAATATATGGACAGATAGCTTTGACATATATCAAACTGCTGTTCATTTCGTCATTTTACTTATAAAACTGAGTACTAAACTAATTAAAAGTAAATCTTTTTTAAAAAGAGTACTAAAGAAATAATCAGAGAAGAAAAAATATTAGGACCCAGCTTGTTGAATATAATATTTAGAGTAGGAAAAAAGGATCATCCTGAATGCCAAAAACTAAAGTGATTACATAAATTATGGTATATAGGCATAATGAATTAACTATGGTTCAACTATTAAAGTTTAATAATCATATACTACATGAAAATTCTCATGTCATATAAAGACACAATTGACAAATTCAGTGAATGAATGGTAAGCAAGGTCTATTTTTAACTTCAATGTACAAATATGATATATGTCAAAAATGCTCCACACAATGCTTTTAACAGATATTCTCAAGCCTGGCATAATAGCCAAGTGACTAAATCCTTGTCCCTCTGAGATCCCATATGGGTACTGGTTCATGTCCCAGCTGCCCCACTTCTCATCCAGCTCCCTGCTTGTGGCCTGGGAAAGCAGGGAGAGATGGTCCAGAGCCTTGGGACCCTGCACCCATGTCAGAGACCCAGAAGAAGCTCCTGACTCCAGGTTTTGGATCAGCTCAGCTCTGGCCATCACAGCCACTTAGGGAGTAAAACAGCAGATGGAATACTTTCTCTCTCTCCTTTTCTCTGAAAAATCTGCCTTTCCAAGAAAAATAAATAATAAATTAAAAAAAAATCACATATATCCTCAATCTGTAATGTACCAGACTCCCTCTCTTAGCTTAGAGTCTTTGCCTTGCTTTGATTGCAAATTTATCTACTAAAGACTAATTCATTGAATTGAGGGAGTTTCCCATTAGACACAGTCATTGCACAGGATTCCAAATCACATTATTCATGAGGTCATTTATTTCCTCCACAGATAATACTTTGGACTTATACTCTCCGTAGTTGTATTGTTTTAAACAGGAACCCTCAGACCCAGAACAAAGCAACAGACACCTGCATAAAGTATCCAGACTGACTGGTACCCAAGACAGACACTAAAATTCCTGAAAGAACACAATGGCTGTTCTATCACTGACCAATCAAAGGAGTAACATGAAAACTACAGACCAACCAGAGATCTGCTCATGAGCTTATCACAAACCTCTTAATTCCAACTCTGTAAGATTGCTCTCCTCTTACCATGCTGGGAGTCTACGAATTAAGCATTAGCTTTCCTATTTCTTACTCTGGGCCTTGAAAAATCAAATGCCTACTTTTTTCCTCCACCCTAGTGTCAGTGATTAGTTTGCTGTGCAATGAGAAAGCAGACATAGGTTTGGGATTTCTGCAATAAAAGGTTCAAGATGAACAGAAATATCACTGTGAATGACACATACCCAATGTGACATAACACTTTAGGCTAATTAGATATAAAAAGTATAAGCTCATTGGCACATGCTGAGGATCTGTGTGGTAGTCTTGGTCACCATTTTGTGCCATGATAGTCATTGTTACTCATGTCTTTATATCTTCTGTTCTTCTCCCTTTATATTTTTTCTCTAATAATTTTTTTTTCATTTTCAAAAACATTAATAAAAAAGGAAACATCTAATATGTTAAATACTCTATAAAAAGACATGCATACATTCCTTATCTCCTGTTCTATATTATCACCATATTGGCAACACAGGAACCAGATAAAAATAACTTGATCTGTGATCTGTATGTTTTGTTTATGATGGTCTTCTTATAAACAAAAGTGCATAAAACATATTCACTGAAATATATGCATGTTTAATTGAAGCCAAAGATTTTAAACTAAGATGGAGGGGTGAGGAAATAAACACAACTCCAAGGGTGTGTTGTCCATTATAGTAGTCACCAATCACAATGTCAAAGAAAATTATTTAAACACAGTTTGAAAAGTAGTTGGGCTGAGCTGCAACTCAAAGGGGGCGGACTGGGCAGGGCTGAGCAAACCTCAACTCACAAGAAAGAACAGAAATCAGGATGGAGCACATGTCATGCTGAACTAGGCTCTTACACTGACTGGTCTGCATAAACCAGGGATGCCAGGCCACAGCATTGAAGGCAAAGGCTGAGACAGGTGAGAGGCTAAACCAACTGGGTTAGAACAACCACTGGCGTGTGCATAATGTAGGGCTGGGAAAAGACTTGGTTGGGGAACTGTGAGAGTATACACTTGCTGGGTTGGGGTTTCCATGGGAGAGTGCGTGGGCCAGAGTGGGGTCTGCATTCTGGTCTAGATATGGTTGCAATCTCCCTTGGCACAAGTGTGAACTGGGGCTGGGTTCACCAAGCCGGGTTAGATGCCAGTACCATCTGGTGCTCTGGAGAACCTGAATAGATGTAGGACGGACTAGGCCAGGTCTCTGCCCCTACTGAGCCATGTGTGAGCTGTGTTTGGGTATGAACAAGCCTTGGCTGGGCTAAAGCATCCAACAGTAAGAACTGGAATGGACTGAAGGCCAGCAAGGAGGGCTGGCCCATGGAATCACCAGTACACGCAAGATGTGGCATAGGGAGAAGTTCTGATGGAGGAGCTTGGGAAACTCCTCTGGCAGGACATGGTCCTTACAGGTAAACAGAAGAACCACAATAGGGAGCAACCCAGACTAGACCAGGGAAATGTACCCACCGGCATACATATGGCATACGTTAAGGGGCAGACCAGGCTGAACCTATTCACATTATCCACTGGCGAATCCAAGCACCAGAATAGAGTGTGGGTCAGGCTGGGTTTGGTTGCGACACAAACCTGTGCATATTACGGAATGCCAAGGTGGGGTAAGCCATACCAGATGTGGTCGCAGTGCCCAAACAATACATGTGAGATACTGGGGTGAGGATGGGAGGAGAGGCAAAGCTGGGAGAGGGAATGTGGGTTCCCCTGCTGGACAACCACTCCCACTGGAGAGCTTGAGCTGGGATGGAGACAGAGCAGACCAGGAAGGGCTAAACACCTGTAGGCCGCATGTGAGCTAGATCAGGGAAGGGCCAGGTTGGGCTGACTGTTCCGATGGGTACAAGCCAAAATTAGAGTTGATGAGGGTTAGATAATGCTGATGAGAAGCTTTCCATCATCATAGAAAATTTAGCTGGACAGCGTCAATACAGAGACTGCCATAGTTAACACACAGAAAGCAAAGTCAGAGGATCAAGAAATGCTTTTAGTGCAGCAGTTAATATGCTCACATCTCTTATCTGAGTGCCTGTGTCCAAGTCCTAGCTCTGCTTCCAATTCCAATTTCCTGCTAACACGCACTCTAGAAAACAGCGGGTGATGGCTTCAGTAATTAGGTCCCTGAAACCAAGGTGGAAGACTTGAACTGAGTAGAAGGCTAAAAAATTATTCTGTAGCCTCACAATGCACATTAAAGCCAGGCATCTTACTATTCTTAGGGGTCCAGCTACCACTTCTCTGATATTTTGCACTAAATAAGTAACACCAATTGTTATTACAGGTGAATAAATAAATTGCCATTTGACGTCAACATTCAAAAGAAAAAAAGGAAATGAGATACTGGAAATACTCTTATTGCAGAGAGTATGATAAAACTGTAATCTCATGCTATAACAACATTTTTAATGAGTGATAATATCAACTGATAAAAACTTTATAGTTATTCTTGTGGATAAAATTCACAGCTACCTTTATGTATGTATGTATGTATGTATGTATGTATGTATGTATTTAGTGCATCATTACATTGGGACATTTGAAAAAGAATGAGTAAAAAATATTTGAGATGTGGCATTCATTTATTTCATTACTTCTTATATCAAGAACACATACTCTATCAGTGCTTCCACAATAAATTTTGGCAACAGCACATTCTAAGTACTTAGAGAAAGAAAACTGCCATTTCTGTGAATATTTTATTAATTTATTTGTTCATTAGGACAAAGAAACACTAAAAAGTGCCTGGTGTGATAGCCAAATCAAGCTAAATCCTTGCCTTGCACCCACTGGGACCCACATGGGTGCCAGTTTGTGCCCTGGCCGCTATGCTTCCCATCCAGCTCCCTACTTGTCACCTGAAAAAGTAATAGAGGAGGGTTCAAAGCCATGGGACTCGACATCCACATGGGAAATCCAGAAGAAGCTCCTGGCTCCAGGCTTTGGATCAGCTGAGTTCCAGTTGTACGGCCACTTGGGGAGTGAATCAGCAGATGGAAGATTTTTTTCTAATTCTTTCTCTCTATATATCTACTGTTCCAATAAAAATAAACAAATAGGGCCTGGCACAGTACCCTTGAAGCTAAAGTCCTCGCCTTGAACATGCCGGGATCCCATATGGCCTGCCGGGTCTACTCCTGGCAGCTCCACTTCCCATGCAGCTCCTTGTTTGTGGCCTAGGAAAGCAGTCGAGGACGGTCCAAAGCCTGAGGGACCCTGCACCCGTGTGGGAGACCTGGAGGAAGTTCCTGGCTCCCAGGTTCAGACTGGCTCAGCACCAGCTGTTGTGGACACTTGGGGAGTGAATCATCAGACAGATCTTCCCCTCTGTCTCTCTGTCTCTCTCTCTGTATATTTGACTTTGTAATAAAAATGAATTGAAAAAATTAAAAAAATAAATATAATCTTAAACACTAAAAACAAATTTAGAGAATCAGAAACTTTTA